TAGGCATTCCTGAGGTAATTAGATACTGGCTCCACGTTGACACTAAATTCTAGAAACCCACCATTCCACCACTGTCCTTAGGTCAGATTTGGAGGGAGGGAGGCTATGGGAGTCTGGCAATGAATGGAGATATGGTCCAGTCTGTTTCACAGTTTGAATTAAAAATTGTGGTTATTCCCCAATTCCTGAATATGTACTCAGAATGCATGTACTGAGTAACTGGTGGAATCAATGGAGCAGTTCCCTGACCCATAGAGGAAAGATTATTTTGATAGGAAAGATCAAGTGGGAGTCTGTGCAACCGTCATCCCCAAACAAATAATAATCTAATAGCAGAATTTAACCCCACACAGACATTAGGGCCACCATCAGAGTCTAGAGAGATGTGGAGAAAATGATTCATATCATGTCCCTGTTTAACTCACCTGTTTGGTTGGTGCCAAAATTAGCAGTTGTTTTGGATTATAATCAATGTTAACTGGTTTTGATGCCTTTGTGGTATCTTTACCGGAGAAAATAAGCCACATCCATTGTTACTTAATACACAGAAATTTATATAAATATGCATATATGTATATATACTAATATATTCTAAATATATGTATTCAGAAATGGTTCACCTCTATGTGGTAGAGTAAACATCAATGTCTTGTTTTATAGTTATAATGCGTTCTCTAGCATTCTAGTCCTGAGTGTCCTTAAACATCATATGTCCCACAGAACATCACCATTACATTGCACTATATTAATGATATTTTGCCCATTCTACCTAATGACAAAGAAGGAACAAGCAGCCAGATGCTTCAGTAAGACATAGGTGTGCTAGAGCTTTCTTATGAAATGGAAAGTCATCATATCAGGATTTTTCCAATCACCCAGCGGTCTGATATATGTGAGGATATACCCTCTAAATTTAGAAACATTAGCTGCAGATTGCACCACCTTCCATAAAAAAAGAAGCAATATGTTTGGTGTAACTATTTGGATTTTGAAGACAGCATGAACCAAATTTGAGTGTACTGCTCTTACACACTTACTGGATAACTTAGAAGGCCACCAGTTTTGTGAGGGATCCAAGATAAGAATGAATTTAACATATGGTCTATGCTCAGGTGCAAGCTGCCTTGAGGTCTGAACCTTAAGGTTGAGCATCCAGTGGTACTTGAAAGGTCTGTGGTAGAATGGGCGCAATAGGGAGCCCTAGAAGGGAATCACAGCACAGACCCTTAAGAGACTGAAGCAAAGCTATGATAATCTCTTCTGCCTAAAATGATTCTCTATTCAAAAAGGAGCTCCTGGCTTGCTGCTGGGCCCCTGACCACTGTATACTAAGTCACTTGGCAACAGCAGCTTGCCAAGTAGTCTAGTAATTTTTGATGCATCCAATCATAAAGTTACTGCTTGCAGCAACATTCTATTATTAATGGCAATGCTATGTACAAGATCCGGCCTGAGCAGGTTTGGAAGACACAAGTAAATTGCAAAGCACATGGCTCACCCACAGTATTCCCTTCAACTGCTTCAGTGTCATGCCTGTACTCCCCAGCTATGGAAATATGATCAGGTTTTGAATAACAGAAGAGGACACAATTAACCAATTAACAGATGAAGAATTCATTGAGGCCTAGTTTGCCGATGAGTCTGCGTGGTGTGCAGCAATCACCAGCTGGAAGTAGTCAGCTGCATTATAGCTCTACATAAAGATACATAATTACGTGGCTCTACATAAAGACAGTCCTGTCAGATAGAAGGGAAATCTTTCCACTTGGTGGTGATTTGAGCAAATGCAAATGTTCTCTGTTTGGAAAGGTCCAATTCTACACTTATTTCTGATCAATGTCTAATGGATTGGCTGGCTTGTCAAGAACTTAGAAAGGACAGGACTGGAAGATTGCTGACAGGAAAGTCTGAGGTGGTGGGAATTACATGGATGGATCTATCAAAGCAGGAACATGGTGCAAAAATGTCTGTGTCGTATTGAAACTCCCTAAAGAATATCTATGACAGAGAAGGATCTCAATAATCATATAGACCAGAAGACCTGTCTGTGGTCTTGTTCTTTGTGTACTTGTGAAAACCAGTACACTTGTTTTCAGATTACGAGTTCTTGCTCAGTGGACCCATATTCCATGTGGCTTTGTTGGCAAGGATGGAGACTATGCATGAGCTCAATAATATGGACTTTCACACATCAAAGCTGATCTGCTTTGTGCCAAAATGAGCAAGAAAAGGCTAATGCTGAACCAGTTTGGCACCATTTTCTGGGGAACTAGCCAGCCACGGGATTAAAGATTGATTACACAAAATGTCTTCCTTCATGAAAGGAGTGAGTGGTTTGTTCTCACAAAAGTAGTTATTATAGATATAGACTGGCCATTCTGTCCCACAACACTTCTGCCAATCCACCATTCATACATTGACAGAATGCTTATTCCTTGCCATTTAGACAACTCGACACTGCTTCTAACTGAAGAATTCATTTGACCACCAACAAAGTGTGCCAGAGATCCTGCCACAGAGTTCATTGTTCTTACTATGTGTCCAACACTCAAAATCAGCTGACCTGATAAAATGATGGAAATGGCTAACTGACAACTCAATTGCAGTGCCATCTGCAGGTGAAAACCTCTGAAAATTTGATGTCCTGTCCTATAGGTTGTGGCATATGCCTTAAAATAGTAGACCTTATATTGTGCTGTTTCCCCCAAAAGCATTACATTGATGGATGGATGATCTCATAACAATACCTAAAAATCCATTTACAAAATTTTTCCACAAACTTGGGCTCAGTTGAATTGGCAGTCCTGGCACCCAAGAGAAAGAGACACCTATGCCAAGGATCACAGTCATGGTTCCATTAAAGTGGAAAATGAGACTGCCAGCTGACCATTTTGAAGTCCTCTTCTACTGAACTGACAAGCAAATGAGGGGATTAATTTATAAGATGCAAGGATTTATCCAAATTACTAAGAGAAAATTGTGTTATTATTACACAAAGCACAGAGGGAAGACTATAGCTTTTACCTGGGGACTTCATAAGGAATTTCTTCGTATTCCCATGTTCAATAATAATCTCAGTGAGAAACTAGGACAACTGAATAAGGTCGGGATCAACATGGACATGGATTCTGTGGAATTAAATTTTTGGGTTGCTCAACCAATTAAGAATCTCAACCAACTAAGTTAATGGATAAGGGAATAAGGAATTAGATAGAGGAAGAAGGGAAATATGATTACTGATTTTGACCTTGCTATCGGCTAAAGAGATAGGGAATACAGTAATGTCTTATGTCAAATGATTTGTTTACCCAATTTTTTAAACCTTATATGGCTAAAGTTATAATTTAGGCTACATGGAGGGTGACAAGTTGACATCACCCTGTGATGATTTGGTGACAGATGGAGTTTTGTGATTAATTCTCTGTTGGTCGAGAATGGAAGCTGGACTGCAAAATGTTTGAAGAGTGGTGGTTAAGATCCATTTGTCACTTTCCCCTTCCCCGTAGACCTAGTTTCTGCTATTCTTTTGTCTGTTCTGTGTTCTAAGGACTGGACCCCTGTGGACTGCATTATCTGCATTTCCTTGCTTTTTGTCTTAAGGTTGGTTTCACCCAATGGAGGGCAGCAGCAGGAGGTTATAGAATGGGAGGAAAGAGTGGTAAGTTTATTTCTTCTCTACATCCATTCTCAGTTCCAGTAGTGGCTGGCTGCAGAAGCCATAGTTATGGTAGTGACTACTTCTCTATAACCGTGGTTCTTTTGAACATCCCCTTTTCCTTTGTTCAACTGTCCCTCAGAAACACTCTTCCCTTTGCTGCAGTGGCCTAGTGGTGGTAAGAGCTTCAGTGTTGCTAGTCTCTGGGTTCTGCAACATCTCTAGTTTACTTTAAACCTTCTGATACTCTTCATTGCATTCTCTTAGTGATCTCAACTCAGCGTGCCTTCTATTTCCTTCAGAGATCCAAACTGACATACCAATCTATAACAAGAGAATCCCTGTTAAGTGACTCTAACAAACTTCAAAGTTTTTTATCCCCAGAAATGTTTTCAAATTTTTCTTGGAGACTTACTTTGTAAAAGAGATTGGATGCAATGGATTGAAGAGTCAAGTTGGTGATCTTGATGTGTGCATCTAGAAAAGCATTCATTTGCCTGTGCACTCCCAATCTCCCGGCAAGCTCTTGAAGCATATCCAAGGACAAATTTTAAGTTTCCTGGATTGCATGCTGGTTTGAAGAGGTATAAGGATAGATTTGATGGTAACACAGGACCATTCTAATAATTATCATTTTGGTCTACATGAGACTGTTTAACTGAAATCCTGTGCTAGGATGGAGATTATCTGGTTTACCATTGCCAGTTTCCCATGGCTCGATACCCTTATCATTACATGAGGAAATGAATAGTTTCTCATGTATAGACTTAATGTAAGAATTAAACATGATGATGCATGCAAAACATTCAGGGCACTGTTTGGCTCTTAGCAAATGATCATTAAATAGGAGCTGTATTATTCTACATCTTCACCTGCACTCTATAGCCAAGGGTGCAGCTGTATTTACTTTATTCCCCGTACAGCCCAATACTTACACACCTAGGAAAGGCTTTACGTGAGTTAGGAGGCAATAGCAGCAATGAGTTCCCAGCATGACCTTTCAGCTACTCTCTTATATAGGGCTCTTCTCGTATTTATCCAGCACAGTAAAAGTCCCTACTTATTGGTCTTATACCCCTGGAAAGTGTGAGTTGCAATATAACCATCAAACTCTCACAAAGCTTAGTTTATGATTATACCACATTTCTCCTTAACTTCCTTCAATATTATCTCATTAGGCTCCCTCATATGATTAAGCTTAATTTTCCTTCTCGTTTACCTCCTGAGATAGCATCATCATTCAAATTAAACCTTACAGCAACATATTTAATTGGAATTTCAGTAACTAATGGTAGTAAATATTTCTGTAGAAGAGAAATTATTTCAAACACCTTATTTTACCCACCTTCATGCTATGTCTTCATTTTATCTTTACTTTCAAAGTGAAATTTTAGCAGGGGAATCCATTACTGCAAAATGAAAAATGAATTATAATTTAACATTATGTATCACTGAATTTGGATTGCAGGACCTGTTCACAGACTAAAGAGTTCTGAGATGAGAAAGATATTTGAAACAACAAGGGACCTATCTCAAATAACCACAGGAAAGCTGATGGCTCTGAAAGATTTCAATAAAATACGTTAATTAAAACCTATACTCAAGCCTCCTCAGCAGTTTGGCAGCTGACAAAAGCACTTCAAAACAGTTTGAAGAGACTATGTGTTTCATGTTAGGGAGCAATTGAAAAGTCACTAACACCTCAATCATTTGAGATAGAAATGGTATGATCTAAATTGGCCTCAAAAAGCGTAGATAAAATAAAAGTATAAGCATTATAATATTCTTTTTTTGGGCAGCCTGACAAACTCCAGCCTCTACTGGCATAGTTATAAAGCAGGCCAAATCAAAGGCAGATTTATTCTAGGCTTTGTTTCGGTCACTTGTCTTAGGATAGAAGAGTATGGAAACGACTTCCAAACTGGAACAAAATTACATAGAAGTTATGACTAAGTTAAAACAAAGATAAAATAACGCCACAGTTACCCAGCATTGTTGGGGAGTTCAGTTAAAGAGAACGCTTAATTGGTGGTTAACTCAACAGTGGGATAAATAGAATAAAGACACTTATAGATAATTGGCTTATTTTCATATTTTGCATATTCTACATATCATTGCAAATCGTTCCTTTGAAGCAACTTCAAATTACAATGTAAACTATAGACGTCGAATTCTTTCAGAATTGCAAAGTTAACTGAAGTGTTATAGCACTGGCTGAATGCCGTCTTATATTTTACAATGACAGTGGATCACTTCTGCCTAGCATACTCAATATTTTCCAGTTTCCTGAATTTTTTTTTTGAGGAAGATTAGCCCTGAGCTAACATCTGCCGCTCATACTCCTCTTTTTGCTTAAGAACACTGGCCCTGAGCTAACATGTGTGCCCAACTTCCTCTTCTTTGTATGTGGGACCCCTGCCATAGCATGGCTTGGCAAGCGGCGTGTAGGTCCGCATCCGCAATCCAAATGCACGAACCGGCGCCTGCTGAAGCAGAATGTGTGAACTTAACCACTGCGCCACAGGGCTGGCCCCAGTTTCCTGAATTTTTAATTAGCAATATTGGGAAAATTCATTGGACCATCAAGTTAAAACTCAGCAGAGAAAACTGGTTGAACTTGATTTTTTCCATGAGAACCAGATTTAGTAGACAGTCAGTGCAACTTACCAAATAAGATATTAGTATTTTGACCTGAGTTACTAGAAATATAATAGGCTAGGAAGATAAGTGATTTTTCTTGTTTGCTTAGAGTTTTGGCAGACGGTGACAAGATTATTAAAATATCTTGCCAGCTCACCTGTGCAAGACATACTTAGAGAATGAGAAATCAATTATGAGACCCTTATGCTCAATACTATCTCCAGGATACATAATAAAAATAATCTGTTAGAAGGTTGAAGAATAGCAAGCAGTTCTTTGGAAAGAGTTCATCAATCCTCAACGTGTCCCTATTTTCCAAAGTGGCGACCTCGGTAATGCACACAAATATTTGGTTTTATTTTCCTTGTCTTATACTCCCTGAACTTTCTTCCCTGTTTCCTGAAATCGCTACCTACCATCCATTATTCCCATATGGGGCAATAGTATTTCTCACTAGTTGTTTAAGTTTTCTCTTAAGTGTTTTTTAAAAATGTTATCATTGTCTTTATAAAAGTCTTATAAACTCCTCAGATTTACTCATCAAGTATTTATGTTTTAGTCTTGTATTATTAAAGATCTCACTTTTGCTCAATTTCAATAAAGTTTTACTATGAAACATTTGAAACGTGCACCAAAGAAGAATGAAAAACATAAATAACCTCTACATGTCTACCGCACATATGCCAAAATTATAAAGATGTTTTTCTTTTTCTGAATTGTTTTAAAGCAAATTCCAGATATTATGCCATCTCTAAAAATATGAACACTTTCATACATAACCAAAATGCTATTATGACATCAAAGAAAATTATAATTGGTATCGCTTGGCACCTGAATACCCAAATTTCCTCAGTAATCTAAAATGCCATTTCATCATCTGTTGTGTGAATCGAGATCCAAACAAGAGCTACCCTTTATATTATTATTACTATTTTTTAAAGACTAGCCCTGAGCTAACATCTGTTACCTATCTCTTTTTTTCTTCTTCTTTTCCCCAAAGCCCCGCAGAACATATTGTATTGTTGTATATTCTAGTTGTAGGTCCTCCTAGTTGTGCTATGTGGGACGCCACCTCAGCATGGCTTGATGAGCAGTGCTAGGTCTGTGCCCAAGATCCGAACTGGCAAAATCCTGGGCCACCGAAGCAGAGTGCATGAACTTAACCACTCAGCCACGGGGCTGGCCCCTACCCTTTATATTAGAGTATTAAGTTTCTTTATCCTTCTTTACTCCAGATAGTCAGTGCTCGCAACTTTATTTTTTTGAATCATGCTTTTTACTTGTTGAAGAAACCAGGTCAATTGACCAGTAGAGCATCCCACTGGATCTACTTACCACCTAGAGGTACCATTGTATTCCTCTTTTCCGTTTGTCCCATAATCTTCAAATTAGTTCTGTAGGTTTGATTAGATCTAGTTCAAACATTTTTTGGCAAGAACATTCGATAGGAAGGTGGTGCTGTGTACTTCACATTTATATCAGAAGGTACTTTATATCTCCTGGTAGCAGTCTTAGTAATGCTGAAATTAATATGTGGTTTCAGGTGTTAATATTCTTGTTCCTTCATCATAAAATTCTCTATTAACCTGTCTTCTTTTGGTTTCATTCATAGATTACAAATTTGCTTAAATCAGTTATTTCTAGTGGCATACAGGAGCCTGCTTCCATCAACTCAGAAGAGCCAATTGTGTACATTTCTTTGCAACTCCGAGTTCAAAGACTCCATGTTGGTAGCTTGCAATTGACCATGGTAGGAGTATTTATTCCATAAAAGTCAGAAAATCTCACAAATCAGAGCTTTCTTTTCAAAGATTTTATTTTTCCTTTTTCTCCCCAAAGCCCCCTGGTACATAGTTATATGGTTTTAGTTGTGGGTCCTTCTACTTGTGGCATGTGGGATGCTGCCTCAGCATGGCCTGATGAGTGGTGCCATGTCCGTGCCCAGGACTCCAACCAGTGAAACCCTCGACCGCCGCAGCAGAGTGCACAAACTTAACCACCCAGCCACCGGGCTGGCCCCCCCAGAGCTTTCTTTTTAGAGAGTCAATTTATCAATGCATAATTAATTATTTTCTAAGTTAAAAAATAGACTCATAATTCTGCCATTTATTCCACATTCACAAGCTGGGATTCTCCTGTAAAGAATATTTTCTCAATATGGCTATTTGGTGACCCTGAAAAACACGGCCTTATTATTGGTGTCTCAGTGTAGACAACTCATTGCCTCTCAGAGCTAAACTTGGTTTAGAAAGATTTTATTCCTCTGTTTTGAACATCTCTCTCTCTCTAAGGATTAATGTACACATACAATTAAAATTATATTTTTATCCACATTTTTTTCTTTTAATGCTTATACTCAAAATAGTACTGAATATGCATGGGCATAGAACAATCGGAATTGATTTCTCTTACCTTTCTCTGCATCTATTTGAGGTGATTATAAGATTTCCTCCTTTATTCTGTTATTCTGAGGAAGTACACTGATTGATTTTCTAAGTGTTATACCCTACTTACATTCCTGAAGCAACATCCTTGGCCATAATATATTATTGTTATATATGATGGCTCTAGATTGCTAATAATAAATTTAGGAGTTTTGTCGTTATGAAAGAAATTAGCTTGTGATTTTTCCTTTTTATAATGTTGTTTGTTACTGAGATTATTCTGACCTCATAAAATGAGTTGATCAGTATTATCACTCTTGCTATAATTGTGAATTTATCTACTTCTCGATTTATTTACATCACTTTGTACTTTAATCATTTTGAAGCTTTATGCTCTTAACTGTGTTAACAGTTGCAATAAATATTACCCTAATAACAGATAAATCTCCTATAAGGGACATATTTCATAATGATATGATGTTTACCACGAAGATATAATCATTGTAATTTTTAAAGTTGTATTAAAGTCTATGGTGCATAACTTCAATATACCTGCTTCTATTTCAGTATTTGCTCTTTTTCAATATCAATCTTCTGGTCAGGTCCCCTGGTATATATAGTTATTTTCTTTTGCATATCAGGTATGAAATATTTTATAGCTAATTTGAGGCTATGGATATTGTTATTTTGTGCCAGAGAGGATTGACTTTTTCTTCCTGTCATGTTTAGAGTATGGGCAAAATAACTTAACCATCTCTGGGATTGAACTGATTCCTAGCTGGTTTTCAGTCTTCATGAGGCTTGGTTTATTTCCAGTTTGTCTTTACTCCTAAGTATATCCCTTCACTGGTACCTGTGGATAACTTGTCCTTTTTAACCAAGTCCCTTCTCCACAGGAGGTCTGAAGTCTAAGTTTTGTTCCTCCAGATCCATGAGATTGTCAAAATCTCTCATGAACGTCTCAGCCTTTTAGCCATCTGTTGAATTTACCTCTCTGGGATTTCTTTCTCTCCACTGTTTTTGCCCCTCAAAAATTCCTCACTGTGGGACGGCCCTGTGGCACAGTGTTTAAGTTCACAAGTTCAGGTTCAGTGGCCCAGGGTTCGCTGGTTCAGATCCCGGGTGTGGACCTACACACCGCTTGTCAAGCCATGCTGTGGCAGGCCTCCCACATATAAGTAGAGGAAGATGGGCACGGATGTTAGCTCAGGGCCAGTCTTCCTCAGCAAAAAGAGGAGTATTGACAGCAGATGTTAGGTCAGAGCTAATCTTCCTCAAAACAAAATAAAATAAAATGAAAAATAAATAAAATAAAAATTATTCAAGAGATTCTTTAGAGACCAAGCCAGCTTTTTCAAATTTTTCAGTGTAAAAATTTGAGCTGT